GGCGCGTGTCTAGTTTACACACAGAAATTGTCGCTTGAAGCGCTAGGAAAAGGATTACGCGATCGTTTTTTACTGCTTTTGATATATGTTTAAATAAAATAAAATAAAATTATAAATTTATTGGAATATAACATAACACTAATAGAACATTTATGAATGCCTAGAAGCCTAATAGAAATAATGTATGTTAATAAATGTAACAATTATAGTACGACTTACCAAAAGCTTTTTCTCCATCAGATCAAATTTGCGGCATTTGGTCCCTGAATAGAGGTACAGGTTGTTGAAGGTGTGATGGTTAATCCTGGAGAACTCAAACTCGTTGCACAGCGAATCGGCGCCATGAGCCTAATAAATTACAATGAAAAATGAATATATATAGAAATGTATATATATTATATATATATATATATAATATATATATATATTATACATATCTATTTTACTAATGCTACTGCTACGCCTATTATGTATAAATTACTATTGCTCATAAACATTTAAAATTAAAATGTTCGATTTAAAAATAATTGACCAATAAATAACGACACGCTAAAAAATCGAAAGTTACGTAATTTATTCACAATAGGCCACAGAGTAAATTTTACTACCCACAATGCAAAGAGGCTAGCATATTACCTCTAACACCTACCATGATCCGCCCCAAGACAATACATTGACACAAGAATGTAGTCCTCTTTCGAACAATCCATCCATCAGCAACTCATATTAACTATCTGCATAGGGCTAGCCGCTCATTAAACCTGTGCAAGAAATGAGTAAATTTTTAACCCAACAGATTGGCGTAAAGACTACCAATTTAATACATAATAATTGAACATGATATATTATGTTGAATAACATTTACTTATAAATTTATTTTATTTTAGTAGTTTAATATGTAGGTGGGAAGGGGCGAGTAGGAGGGCAAGAGAGGGGCGATGAGTAGCGGTGGTAGAAAAAGGGCGAATTTGGAAGTGGCGTGGCACAGAATGAAGGGGGAAAGTGAAGGAAACTTGGGAGGAAGGTTAGGAGAGAGAATGTGGTCGAAGGTAGCTACGTATATGCAAATGGAAGCGGACGTAGACAATACTAAACCAACGTAAACTTAAAAAAAAACATGGGATGCGAAAAGGCGCGAAATGTAAGCTTTCCCTTGCGTCTGCGACTAGGCCCATATGAATGGCCTGCTTTTGCTCGGTCTTCTAGATACAATGTGATAAATTGGGGGCGATCGCGAGTCCATTATCAAGCCACGCCAGAACTTGATTCACGCGGACAGCATACGGTATTGCTGCCGTTGTACATTTCATAGTAGGTCGAGTCTCATATCTGTGTTGTCATATGTAATCATGAAACATCAATATAAATCTAAATTATTTTACACCATTTCATTTTCGTAATATCGCGAATGTCTTGATTGTCTTTCGTTATTTAATATAAGGAATGCTAAGCAGTTATTGTAGGTCGCTTATAAGCAGCTGTTTATAATCCTGTGTATTGCCTTTTAAAAAATCGAATTAAAAACACAATATCAAAGGGCGCTACGCTACTCTGCTATGTACAACATTCGCCGAACCTGCGCCAACTAAAGAAACGGTTAGCGCCTTCTTCGTTTTGTTTTTTCGTGTTATTCAAACCTGGGCAATAACATCAAATCTCCAATTGTATATTGAACACTCGCCCGTTTATATACATACACATTTCATCAAAGCTAATAAACCTTAAAGGTAAAAAAGGTATTAAAGGTAAATAAAAGGTATTATTAGTCTTGATTGCATGCATCACGCACATGCACGACACCCCACTCACATACTCACACATAAAGATAGGCCACACGCGGCACTTCCCCAACTTCGCCTCACGAACGCGCTTATGCACGCAAATGCGTGCTGGCGCGATGCACGCCACAAAATGACATCATGAATACGTAATACAATTCATGGTTATTCTGTATTTCTGATGACATGCCGCACAAATTTACAACTAATTTGCACTACTTAACCGAGTTATTTAGAATTAATGAGACTTTGAATGTCATGCCTAATAACAGCAGCTTTGATTGCCCAAATATTATTATGTCGTCTACCTACTCACAACGAGGCAATATCTAGTGTTTATTAAGAGGATTAACTTTTACACGGGGGAGAATCTAAGTGAATAATAAAAACAACATACCGGCCTCTCCTTGCCCACCATCCGCGTCTTATACGATTCTGGAGAACCCAGGCTAAACGAAGCCCCAGAACTCGGATCATTACAATGCTTGTTATCTACTGATTCCATGTGACTCGAGGATATGGAACCCTGTATGTTGTATACATACAAAGCATTAAAATGTTGCAAAACTGCTGCATTGTAAAACATTATGCAGTGATCCGCCAAAAAAACCAGTACACAGAATATTTTCCATACTAAATATTGTAATTGTTTTGTAGCAACATTTAACTATTGTGGAGCATTATCGTACTCATTAAGCTCAATGCTTCGATTTTAAAACATGTTGATGCTGACACCACGCGCACAAATACAAGAGAAGTTCTCACCGTGACAATGGAGATAGTGCATTGGCGAGGCTCTTGAAGGGTAGGAGGCACGCATGTGGTGCATGGGCCCCACACTCCCGGCAATCTCTGTAAAGTAGGAGTGCAAATTCCTCAGCGATATTCGGCCACGAAACCACAGTGAAACCAGAAATCACTGGTGTCTCAGAAAAACTGCAACAGAGAAAACGTTGATGTCGCAAAAAAGGCTGATAACACTCGGTTAGCATTATTTCAGTCGAATATTCGTGTACTGGGACGTTTACACAGTACTTTCAGTACATCTACAATCTCACACAGCCCACCTATTGCCACGCGTGCTAGATCTGCACGATTCGGAAAACACTGGAATAAAAGGCGTAGAGGACGATTAGTCTGAAAAAAATTCCCAAACCAACGATCACGGCTTTTATATTATTCTCTGTTATTCCATTGCTTAGATAAAGAGTCCATGATAGAGTTGTCTAATTATGCGTCTCTTGATTTGTATTCAATGCAGTCACCCGCCTTGCCCCTACCCTTCAGCGACATTGTTTCTCCCAATACATGGTTGATCTCGCCAGGAACTTTATGCAGTCGTTGCTGACGGCTCGTCAGTCTGAGTGGCCCGTGAAGTAAGCGTTGCCGCGTCCCGTGAGCGATTTTAATAGCGTTTGCTTGTCCACGTGGATGTCTTTATTGTCAGGTGCCCAGTACAGTGCCTGCGCATGTTAATATATCAGTATATATATATATATTATATGTGCAACATGAGTGTTACTCGAGTTATACAATATTAATGGAAACGATAAACATGAAATTATAAGGCATTGCCCATGTTAGTAGGGTCGTGGTGTTATTGTTTTTATACAGCTATACTGTCATACAATTATACTGTTATGCTTATTATAGTTATACTCATCCGTATTACTGATTTCATTGTTACCCGGTGTTATGTTCTTATACTTACAATTGTCTAGCTTGTTTTCGTAACAGGCTTGGCTTGTATACATGTTGCATGTTAGATACAAGCAAACAATACACGCCGCATACAGATGCAACCTGCATTAGAAACAACAATTTGTTACTAATATTGGTACTTCTGTTTGCGGTGACTAATCTTCCAACAGCGTTCTCGTAGAAGTATAGCAGCCGTAGTAGCGATAGTAGCAAGTAGAGATTGTAGCAAAGTAAGAAGTGCTGTAGCGAACAGTCGTCCGCCAGATGATTGCAGAGTCTTGTTATGTCAGGTCGACTGAGACAATCGCAGATTAGTTGTAGGTAACTTGTCTTTATTATGTGACACATATAACAAAATATTACAATTTACCACAGCCTATCGCAACATGCCTAGACCCGGCAGCCTCGTATCGATCTCTCGTCTGAGCTCTCTACGTAGCTAAACTGTGATACTCTCCATATAATAACTTTGAATCTAATGAATTACTATTTAATGCTGTGACTCTCTGATGTTCCGCTGCCTATTAATTTTATACCTGCACTAAAACGGCCGCCGACGCCTTACAATCCGAAACCAGTTTCTCACCAGCTTCTCTACTATTAGTGACTATTAACGCGCGTCTGTAATGCAATTTGCGTCGCGTGGGGCCACGTGCTATATGGGGCAATATACGAGCACGACGTCCCATGCTCATTAAAATAACAACGAATAACTTGACAGGTTAGAAGTAATAGACAATTTAGTCGCAACTAGCCTTGTCTGGCTTAGAAGCGCCACTGCGCTTAATTAGAACGCAATGCATACAATTAAAACCAAAATATCTACATACTACTACTACTACTACTACTACGACCGACTACTATATACCGACCCTAGCCCTTACTCATACCCGACGTGTGGGCCGCGTGTGTGTGTATGTATGGGTCGTGCGTGGTGTGGTGTGATGTATGTGTGTGTGTGTGTGTGTGTGTTGTGTTGTGTGTGCGTTGTGTGGTGCCGCACGCGTGGTGTGTGGTATGTACTGGTGTGGGTGTGTGTGTGTGTGTGTGTGTGTGTGTGTGTGTGTGTGGCTGTGTGTGTGTGTCTTTCTCTCTCTCT